CGACCTAAACGTTGACCGGCCTAGAATCTGTCGGATTTCCTCTCAAGTATGCTCTCAAAATCTTATCGTTTACGAAATCCAACAAAAAATTCAAGATGATTTATTGGTATGAGTCGTATGAGCATAGCCAGAATATTTCCATGAGGGATGAGACGCAAGATATTCCAGGATATCGCTGCTGTTCATTCTCCTCACCCAATCCGCATGTTTTTCACTCTCTTTTCCTTCCATTTCTTTTCCCTTTTTCTTCAAACCTCGAAGGAGAATGGAAGAGAGTTATCACCCATGCGCACCACCGTGGGTTATGCTCCTGATGAGTGGAGCAGTTCAGTCAACGTACATTTGTAAACAATCAACTCGGAATATCAAACCATGTAATAAATCTCCGACAAATGACCAATTTAAGAGATGACAATTTCTTGTGATTGCCAGTAAGCATGGCTTCAGAGCATCGAAAATCCAGTGCGCACTCAACAATCCAGTACGCTTTTCATTATGAATATATATGGTAAATAATTTTCTGTATTTCGTTGTGTTCACATTGATGAAAATTTTATTGCAAATAAATGTTTTTGATTCTTTTCTCAAACAATCGATCACATCAAAAATTACTTCGTTGGTTCGAATCAGTGCATCGTTCGAAACGGGCACTAGTGCATCGACTTTGCCTAACAACATTTCATAGAGAATATCAAGAGATAATACTGCTGCAAACAGTCATTCTTCCAATTTGGTTATTTCTCCTGGAATATGTCGGTTAATCCCGTTACATTTCAACCTTTTTCCACCATCCATCGATATCTCATCAATGTAGAAATACCATTTTCGATCTACCTACATGTCAAAACTTGCTAGGTATACGCATGATTTATTTGCATTCATGTGACCTGCGCAAGTGATTTCTTAGATCCAGCAAATCCCCTCATATCAGTAACGTGCTTACATTGGAGACGAATAATGCTCAGTTTCATGGACATAACCAAGTTCTCAACTTAGTTATATCAACGTTTTTATAGATAGTACCGCTGTTGATTGATAGTAGGACTATCATGGCGCCTACATAAAAATTAATTTCATTACATGAAAAGTATGGAGCGCTTCATGAAATTAGCGCTGGTCTGGAAAGTCCACTCGGATCACCCAATCAGAAAGTCGAATTGTTGTAAGTTAATTCTAGTGCGTAGCTCGTCGTAACGCACTTCAATGACAACTGAACCAATGTTAATGTGATATCACGCGTGCAGTCAATTGTCATTTAAAGTGCATATTTTGTTCACATCGATGATTTCAACTCGATAAGCCGGATTAGGTTCGGTAAATGCAGACATTCTCACGCCTACTGGTAATTTGCGCGAATCGTGAGAAAAATGTGTAGAAGTATACTGGCGATACATGCCTGAGCGTTGTCCCGTTCATCCCCCCAATAAAATATGAAAATTTCTGATCTGAATGTGGCTTGATTTGACCGAGGATAATGAATGCATGCACATTAGCTTGAATAGTACCTCAACAACATATGAATGTCTGGAAGACTATCTCCGTACAATTTCAAGAAGATCTACTATTTACATGAAGCGGATACTATTGCTTTCATTGTATCCACCAGTTCTATGAATTTTCTTCTACATTGCATCGGTATTTGTTTTAGAAATGGAAACGCATGATTTGCCTTTATTCTCGTGAAAATATTGGTATTAAACGAAACAATAAATATCACGCTATCATCATATTGTACAACAAATAGAGTAGAAATACATGTTCAGGAAGATTATTGTGGATTATAGGCAGTACTCATGCATAAAACCAAATAGATGGTCGATCACGATGAAATACAATTGCGATGACGACTCCAGTCGAGATAATAACGATTAATAAAACCGCATCGATCGATAATCGATCTCCTCAAGGTTGCTGAGGATTAGCCTAGTGTTTTTTGAATACAATCCTTTTCTCGGAGAGTTTTTGTGAGTTGTATATCAGACGCCACGTAAAACATCGAATGAAAGCTGGCCTAAGCTGCATTATAGGCTTGGATCAGCTTTCTGGGATTGAACAATTCAGAACGTTCTTCATAAGTGATCAGTTTTAATCGAGATCAAAATTTCTTCTTCATGATAGGGCCACATTTCGAAGACAACTTCCATCAACATCAACAAATCTTATTTTCATGGAACTTTTTTCGATAATCTTTCTCTAAAAATGTCACCGAAATGAATTCTTAGACTTCAGAGGCTTCTTGTCTCGATACCTTCAAATTGGTTGATATCTCGGAGGAAGTGATCAAAATGTATTCAGAAATGAACATTGGAGAGTGGTTCATTGCCGTTGTTTTACGGTCAGTCGAATAAATGGTAATATCGAGACAATTTTTTTTTCAGAAGAACGCAACATATTTAGGTGGCTTCTTCTCAGCATTTACATGACTATCGCTGCTCTGTCCATCAGCAGTATCAGATGCCATGTTATTGACGTGAGCGTACCAGTGTGACAGCTCCATATCAACGCTCATCTCATTATCGGGCATGTCCAGCGATGAATCGAAAGCATGATTCGAAAATGCCCGCCGCTTAATTTACGCTTATGATATTCATTGTCATAGAACACCGTATTGCTTTAATTATCATTTATTGTGAATTCCATTTGGCTAGAGCACCAGAAGCTGGTATGAGTAAATATATGATTATATGATATGAAGTGATATATGATGATTATATGATTATATGATTATATGTATATATGTAAATGTGTATATTTTATGATTATATGATTTATGATTATATGTAAATATATGATTATTATATGTGAAGTGTTAGATTTGAAAAGAAAAGATTTGAAACAATCATGCAGTGAGTCAGAGGTGTACTGTGGGGTTACACCCCAGTTCGAGGATCTGATGAGCTCAGAAGAAATTTGTCGGATTCCGCCTGTCCAAAATTTTTATTGAATTTCAATGCTGCTGTTACAGGAAATTC